TTCTAGTTTGCCCAAATGTTGATGCCATCACAAAAGTTTGATCTGTCAATGAGGCTTGTTTGATAAGAGGTGATCGTCGGTCCTTTTTAGTCTCGCTTCCATGCCCGCCCTGTTGGCAATTGTTTAGCCCTTTGCGCCTCGAGAGCTGGTCCAGATATTGATAGTACAGCTGGTGTTGTCTAGCATGAGCCTGCTGATGCCTGATATGGTGTCCCGCTAAAGGCTGCAAGCCATAGATACCGGACTGTCTGCCAGTCAAGCGCTGCGAATACCGCAGCCAAGCGGTGGTTGTCCCGGAACCGGGAGAAGGGCTACAACTTGCCTCGCGACCCGGACTCGAGCCCATGGCCGTAGTAAGACGACCGGATCTGAAGGTGACAGCCGGATGAGTCACGAGGAAATCGGCGTCGTCGTACGCGGCGCCTGGTTCCGGCAACGAAAAGCGACGAGAACTGACTCTGCTTTTGGCTGTCATGCTTGGAGTTGGAACGCCGCCACCCCTCACGGCTATCGTGGAACTGGAGCCCGAAATGCCAGAAGGGCAAGTTGCACCTCCTGCACCGGCAGCAGCCTCCACTTCTCGGCTCGAAATCACACCGCCAAACCCACTGGCCACAGCGACAGCCGCGCCCAGAGCCCCGGTTACTCCGAACCCGGAGCCGAGTCCCAGCAATGTTGCTGCGGAAGATGTGGGCGTGTCGCTTAGTCCAGTCAACTTTTTGATTCGACTGCAAGGCACGCCCATGTGTAGGGCGGTCAGCGCGGCCACCGAATAGAGACTGGTCGGATGAGGCGTTTGCTTCTTCGTTTTGTGTGGGCCGAAATCTGACGTCTTCACGGCCGACCACTGGAGAAAATGGCATTCATATGACGACAATGGAAGCAGTGAACATAGAAGAATAACTGATCAACTATCCTATGAATAGATTTCATTTCCACGCCTCTTTAAGGCAGATGGATAAGGTCAGCTGGAAAATTGGATGACTATGATAAATACAAATAAATCTGCGAACTATAAATTAGCGTGTATTTACTAAGCAAAGATTTGAAAACCAAAATGGTGTGGCTTCTAAGTTAATCTCAGTTCTTTTGTTGTATATAAATAGATTTACTCGTCTTCGAAACATGGTCGTGTTGCCAGAATGACCTGTACGGAGTCCCCTGTCAGAGTAGTCACGAAAATTTCAGACAATGGACCATGTACGTGCCACATTTTTGGGCGCTTCCTCAGCATTTTCATAAGGCCTTGTCATTCGTAACATCAAAATAATAAATGATCAAATAGGCAAATGCAGTCGAACCCCACGGCTACGATGCTAGCGAAAGGTCCTAGCCTGGAAAGAAAAATGAGTACTTTGGCAAATAACTTTGGCAAAGTGCTTTCATTTAGGTCGCTTCGACAACATGACCATGTCGCGAAAATGAGATCAAACCGTTTATATGCATTTATTAAGTCTGTCATGTCTATGAGATGCGTTAACCCTATTTCGTTTTTCTACAATGTAGTTGCCTAATCATAACTGGAATAAAGTTTTCATGATATCTCACACTTCAATGAAATGTCATCAATTCATATT